GTGGATTCCATGGGTGGTTACAAAGTTGTGGTTGTCTCATCCTGGTACTTATATCTTTTCCATTTATGAGTTGGCATTATTCTTTAAAGCAAAGGGTTTTGTCTCAGTATCACCACAGTTAAGGATTTATATTAAAATTTAGTGTACTCTCGCTCACTTGGTGTTTTTTTGGTGTTGAAATCATCCCGGATTTGGCCAAGGAGGGCTCTGCCCACTGGCTGCTGGGACCCATGGCCCTGACCACTTGTTTTCTGGTCAACACCCCCCCCTTTTGCTTTCCTGCCCACACCTGCCACTTCTTCAGGGGGCCTCACTGCCTTTGCGAAGAGGTGAGATTTTTAAGCCCCAATTTGGGCACTCAGTATGTTGATTGCTACTGAGTGATGTTATATCTAGGCCTTTTGAGGGGACAGAGCTGGGAAAGGAAAACAAACATACTTGTAAATGTATAAAATAGATAATTTATTTGAGTTCATTTTGGTATATCTAAGTAAAATTTAATATCATGGGACTTTTTTAAAGTTCCCCCCCTTTTACTAAAAATCCTGTTTTCTTATATGGCATATCAACTTTTTGCTTTACTTTAAAATACACACAAAATTAGTTTAAAAACTTAATACCACTATTAACTATGAACAGTAAAGCTATTGAACACAGTTTTAGATTTCTTTGCTTTTCTTTTAAAAATAATAGTTTTGTTGAAATATTCACACACCATATAATTCGCCCTTTTAGGCTATTCTGGTCAGTGGTGTGTGGCATATTTGCCACTGTGCAACCATCGCTTCTGAGAACATTTCTGTCACCTCAGAAAGCACCACTACACCCATTCGCAGTCCCTTCTCCGTCCCCTGACAAGCACTCATCTACCTTCTGTTTCTGAATGTGCAGATTCTGGGCTGGTCTTTCTTAGGATGCGTCCACCGAGGTGTGTGGGCAGTGCTCGCGGTTGTACCAATCTGTCGTCACTCGGGCTGTGCATCTGTTCAGTTTATTTCTCATCTGACAATGTCTTCTGCCCTCTTTTCAGTTTTGTTTTTTAAATATGTAAAATGTTTGCTGGGTTCAGTGTCGACAGTGTAAAGAGCAGTGTGGAGGAGGCTGGATTTCTGCCTGCACCCGTCCCTGTCCGCACTGTCCCTGCCCGCACCCACCCCTGCCCGCACCCATCCCTGCCAGGCACTGCTCTGTTTTGTTTCTGGATTATCTTTCCAGAGTGGATATTACGGATTAAGCCAATACGTAGGTAGCTCCTTCTCTGCTCTCTGACACATGAGGGCATATTGTCTTCCACCCACCCCAACAATTTAAGTAATGTTGTTTTTTTTGAGACAGAGTCTCACTATGTCACCCTCAGTAGAGGGCTATGCCATCACAGCTCACAGCAACCTCAAACTCTTGGGCTTAAGCTATTCTCTTGCCTCAGCCTCCTAAGTAGCTGGGACTACAGGCGCCCACTAGAACGCCTGGCTATTTTTTTGTTCTTGTTGTAGTTGTCATTGTTACTTAGCAGACCTGGGCTGGATTCGAACCCACCAGCCTGGGTGTATGTGGCCAGTGCAGTAACCACTGTACTACAGGTGCCAAACCTTAGGTAATGTTTTAATCCAATTACAGAAGAAATGTATTTTATTATAGAAAGTTTGAAAAACACAGACAAGAGAAAGAAGTACATGATTGAAAAATTCAAAGGTGCACAATGTGGACAGCAGGTCTCCTGCCTGCCCGTGAACTCCTGTCACCAGCTGCTTGGGTGTGGGGGCGGGGGAAGGACTCTCTCTCCCAGTGTGTTCCTGACTTTCTCTGCACCCCGTGGCACCACCGTGAGCTCTTGCTTTCCTCACTGAGTGAGTCTTTTAGGTTCCTGGTTTTCTACCCCTGGCGTTTCATTCCAAGTGTGTGGTCCCTTGTGTGTGTTTACCCTGATTACTTTGATCAGCATTCTCCTGACAGCCCTTTAAATTACATCACCTTTTGCACTAGACTGTGTGCATTCTGGATGTCATGGGTATTGCCGAGTCTGCTTATGCTTAGTGAGCACGTGTGGCTCGTGGCAGTGCACATGAGACCTATACTCTGTAGTCCGCAGTGCTGCGCTGAGTACCTCTTGATTCGTAACTTAGGCTGAGGCTGTGAGCAGAGTTGCATGTCAGCCCCTGCAGCACTTTCAGAGTGACGGGAATGTAGCCTCTGGTAGACTGATAGTAAGTGGCACTGACGTCCCCACCCAGGTTGATGCAAACGTCCACTTCCCAGGTCTCTTCTGCAGCAAATTACAAGTGTGATCAGGTAAGTGTTTCTTATTAATTAGGGGAAGAACAGCAACTAGATACTAAGTCTCCACTTCTGTGTTCACTAGCCACGTTGAGTTCAGCTGTGCGCATTCCTTGGCGAGTTTTACTGTGTGTTTTTGCCTAGACTGCAAGTACCCTTGGCCATTGCTCTTTGGGGACGTTAAGCTGTTGGCCCACATTCCATATCCTGGTTTCTGGCAAAAGGTAGTTTTCTCACCAGTCCTCAAGGCTTTGGAGAGCACCAGGAGTTTTCCTAACGATCTGCACGAAGACTCCTGGGGAGTCTGGGGTGAGTCAGTGTGGTAGACCACTAGAGCTCAGGGAAGGATGCAGACCTGACTTCCAGATACTGCTCCTTTCTGCGCATGGGAGGGCCTGGCTGGAAGGTGGCTCAGGAGTGGGCCCAGCACAGGTGTTAGGGAGCGGTGGCTATCGGCTGTAGAGCCCCTGTGAGCACATAATAGCTCAGAACAGAGCACTTGCCACAACCACTGCCTGGTGCCCACAGGGAAACAGTCCTCTGGCCACCGTGCCCAGGAGATTGCCTAACTCCCAGAGAGGCTTCCAGCACAAACACAGCAGCATGGTCGCACCTCACCTCTCAGGTGGCTGCGGCCAGGGTGTACAGTGGAACCAGAGCAGTATGAAAACTTAGTGCTCCCCTAGGCTGGGTGCCCATAGCTCAGCAGTTAGGGCGCTGGCCACATGCTCCAGGGCTGGTGGGTTTAAACCTGGCCCAGGCCTGCTAAACAAACAAACAAAATAGCCAGATGCTGTGGTGAATGCCTGTGGTAAGTACTAGAGAAGCTGAGGCAAGTGAATCACTTGGCCCAAGAGTTTAAGGTTGCTGTGAGCTGTGACAGCACAGCACTCTATCGAGGGTGACAAAGTGAGACTCTATTTCAATAAAACAAAAAAAAAGAAAGAAAGAAAACTTGGTGCCCCCTCCCCCTTGAGCACTGCCCCAGGCGTGCACAGACCAGGGGTGCGGTGAGGGTGGAGGTGGGTACCCACCGGGGGGAGGCAGCCAAGACCCACCCACCACCAACTCACTTTCCCTAGTAGGAGGGGAGGCTGCCCTGGCTGGAGACAGCAGCAGCCTGGGAGAGCCCTTGCGCCGCAACCCTTCAGTTGAGCTTCCCCACTCAGCAGGGCCTCGAGCAGTGTGTCAGGGCAGCAGCTATACCATAAATATCTGTGTCTTTTTTTTTTTTTTTTTTTTTTAAGATAGAGTCTCACTATATTGCCCTTGGTAGAGTGCTGTCGCATCACAGCTCACAGCCAACCTCAAACTCTTGGGCTTACGTGATTTTCTTGCCTCAGCCTCCCGAGTAGCTGGGACTACAGGTGCCTACCACAATGCCCGGCTGATTTTTGGTTGCAGTTGTCATTGTTTAGCAGGCCCAGGCCGGATTCGACCCCGCCAGCCTCAGTGTATATGGCCGGCACCCTACGCACTGAGTTATGAGTGCTGAGCCAATATCTGTGTCTTGAAGACACGGTCCTCTGAGCTGTCTTTGGGCTCAGCAGCCAGCCTGCTTCCTGCTCACCCTTCTCAGGCCTGTTTTATGCCAGTGGTCCACCACTGTTCTGGGACAAGCCTGGCTGAGGACAAGGGCTGTCTGAACCCAAGGGAAGGCTGCAGACTATGTCTAGTCCAGCCGGTGCTGTGCGCTCCTTTCACCTTGCACCCCAGGCCTCCCCCAGGGGACAGGGCTGGCTGCTGTCCTGCAAGGGACAGAGGACATATGTGTGGCAGAGGGACCCAGTTTTGCTGCCTTCTACAGTGTTGGGGAGGCTTTCATGGGGCCTGTGCCATGAGCTGCCTGTGGGGGGACATCCGAGCACGTCCATTTGGGGCAAGGAGAGAAGAGGGGTTTGTACTGAATTCCCTGGGGCTGTGTTTGGAGCCCTGGGCAGACCCCTTCTCTCCTTCCTTCACTCTCCCCAATCTCATCTCTTTAACTGCTGGTTGCTGTGAACTGTGATGCTACAGCACTCTACAGAGGGCGACATAGTGACACTGGCACCTCAGGGAGGTTTTGTTCTGTGTTGTGCTGATTCAGGGGTCACCTCTGATGAGCTCGCCAGAGTTTTTCTGTGTTGTCCTTCCAAATGTAGAAACAATTCACTTGTTTGCGAGCATTAAGTGTTCTAATAGGCTGATACTGGTTGGGTTATTAGTTGTACTAATATTTAACCAGAGGCACGATGGTTTATTCTTCAGGAAATGAACTCAGCCTATGGTTAACCTCAGCATCTCAAGAGCCGCGCTGCCACGGGGGCTAGGCCTTTGCTCCCTGCCGAGCTTGAGGTCAGCTCATCTGACCTCTGTTCTCCTGGAGCGTCTCCCCGCCCCTTCCTGTGAGGCACACTCTAAGCAAGTGTCGGGGCTGCCGTGTGCTGGCTGTGACTTGTCTTCTGTCTTCCGTCTCTGCCACAGCTGAGCATGCCAGGGCTGGGAGCAGAAGAGACTTCTCCCTGGGCCGCTCAGAGCAAGAATTTCAGGCTTCTCCTCCTTGTCTTTCCCCTAAAGGCTGAAGGGTGGTGATTGTGGGAGTTTGGTGTCAAAATGAGGCTTTTCCAAAAAGTTCCTGATTTCATGCTATGCACAGATCAACTCACACAATTGCAGCAGATAATGTAACCTCTGAGTGAGACAAAACGTGAGCCCAACACCGGGGCTGTCCTGCTTCTCCCTGACAGGACTTTCTGCGGACATTTTCCCCGGACGTCTTCCGGCTTTTCTGCACACGGAGCAGCTACAGGTCAGGTGAGCGGCTCCAGGTCAGTGGTGACTGGGGACAGCAAAACGATGGCCCAACAGCACCATCTTGTGCACTGGCTGCTGTGCCTGAAGGCACAGTTCTGAAGAAGGCCCAGGCTGTCCACTGTGTCAGGTGGGACCCCCCTCTCTCTTCTTCTCTGGGGTCTGACAAGCCTTAGGCCCAGCTGTTGGGCCTGCATCCTGAATGGTGGGCACACTGCTGCAAGCTCTCTCCACCCTGCAGTTGGGACCACTCCCCCCTCACCCTTGGGCGTCCTAAGCGCCGTGTACTTGTGACACCAGTGGGCATGTTCCCTCCAGAGTCACCTGTGCCTCTGTCAGTGGGTTGCACCCCCCCCCACCCCCAGCTGGAGGTATCTAGGATGTCTTTCTTTGGTTCACCTGGTTGTTCTAGGACAGGTGACGGGGCAGGGACATCTGGTGGGCTCCAGGGACTCTTTCCAGGCGGGCAGCATCTCCTTGCTCTGTGTGTCGGGACTCTGCCAACCCTCAGCCACTGTCTCTTCCTTAGCCATCGACTACAGTGACAATGCCATGCTACACGCCCAACACCTGCTTCTAGGGCTGCACTCCTTCCTCGGGGACGCACGTGCCTACATGAAGGGGCAACTGGCCTGCAGTCCTGTCCAAGAAGACCAGCTGTGGGAGGGGTAAGAGACACATATAGGACCCTGGTCACCAGCCTTGTGACCTTGGGGAAGTCCACATCTCACTGCGGGCAGGAGTGCCTGGAGGGGCGATCCCCCCCGTGGGTGCTCACAGAGCTGTAACATGCGTCCTGGTGCTCACCCAGGCCTGGCAGAGTGGCTGGGGTTTTGGTGCGTGAAAGCAGAGGCTGTCGTCACTGGACCTCCTAGTTGGAGGAAGACTAAGCAGGTAGTGGATGCCCTGCACCTTTAGAGAGATGGGCATGTCACAGCAGGGTTGGGGCACACAGCAGGGTCTCGGCGGCTAAAGCCAAAAGCCAGACCTCCATCGGGAATTGGAGACAAGTCTGCTGCGGGTCAGGGGCACATCTCTGTGCCCCTCTGCTAATAGTGACCTGTGGTCGCCTGAGGGGGACATATGCTTGTGTCCACACAGCAGTGCCTGGGCTAAGCCATGTAGACTCAGGACAGCAATGAGGGCTGAGGAAACAGGGCAACTCTAACTCCAGCACTAACCAGGGTGGTCGTGTTCTATGATGTTCCAGTCTGTCACACTGTCACATCAGAAGATTTTGTGGCTGATGTCAGGCAAGGTAGTGGGAAGCTGCAAGGGCTAAACACCAGGGACGTGTCTGGACACTTGGGGGACAAGCACAGCCAGCTGCTCAGGACTCTGCCTGCTAAGGCTGGAGAAGGGATGAGCCACCACTGGAGGGCTGGGGAGCGAGGGCTGTGGGTGCCACCTTTTCTGTACCCATGCATGGGACATAGGAAGAAAGGCCGCATGTAGGGGAAGGTGAGAGCTGCTTCTCCCTGGTGGTCAGCAGAG